AATAGAAATTTTTTGATATTTGCAACCATAGTAAAACAAAGACTTATATTTTTGATATTTATTTTATATATTTAAATGCCATTTAGCAAAGAAAAATCACCCCAAAAAATGAGTTCGCGTGTCACCTCTGACACGCGTGTCATAGGTTCGCCATCACTGCCCTAGAAGCAAAGCCTGAGGTGCAGATTTCTATATTCTTGGGAAAGTCATTTGCTGGGAAGGGGATTACAGAAGATATGGGAAAGATAGTAGGGACACAGGATAAAGGAGAGGTCAGGCCTCAGCCTGATCCATGAGGAGCTCTGGAACATGGGTTGATGGATTGTAAATACAGATTGTCCTGCCCAGAGACTAGGATGTTGGGCTGCTACCCCATAGCCCAACCCTTCATCTCACATCAGTCTATCATAGTCACAGGCAACCCCAAGGAAAATGGAGAACATGGTGGGCATAACTTCTTAGGCATCTCCAGGTAAGGCAACTCCTGCTGACTAAAGGAAATTCCCCAGAAGACAGTGCAGCGTAAGCCATTAGCTGCAAACTCTCCTGGTAGTGGGGTGGGAATACTTCCCTGGTAAATAAAATCTGGATGGGACACTTCCAGTAATGGCTGCAGTCCCATAATGGAAGTAGATGGGGAAACAAAGGTAGTAGGTGCCTGTTCTCTGGTTTAAAACCAGTTTGGATTTGTCTGCCAAAGTCCAAAACACTCTTAGGCACTAAGCCACATATACAATGAGTGTATAGTTTCTACCTACTGGAACGTATTTAGTTTTCCCCAAAACACAGTTAAGTAAATACCAGCCCATTAAGATAGACAAGAAAATTGAGATTCTAAGAATGTGAACCTTAAGGCCACATGGTCCATAATGAATCAGTAGAGTCAGGACTCACCCCCCAGGTCTCCTAGCTCTAACTGCTTTTCTCTCAAGTTACCTGACATGGGGGAAATGGATCTTGATATGAGAGTGAGGAACCAAGACCATTTCCTACATCAAAACTTCAGTAAAGCAAATCAATCAGAGCGTCTATAGCTTGGTCCTGTTTGTTGGCTATTTGAAGAGATGTGTTGGTTTGTTCCCTAGATCAAGTTCAGGCTTCCTCCATGAACTTCTTCCACTAAGGAACATGTTTTGTCAGGTGCCAGTCATTGCCAGTCCCAGCCAGTCTTTTGCTTGAAGATGATGTGATCTGGTATAAACCTTTCTGTGCATCCCCACATCCTGGATGTCCATCATTTCCCTTATAGGCTTCGCCTAACAGGCAGATACTCATGCAATACTTCTTCCTCTTACCCATGACTGCATAGACTTTATTGCAGCAGGGCAAGGATTCTGGAGACTAAAGTCCAGTTCTAACAATCAGTGGCTCTGCCATCATGGGCAAAACCTTTAATCTCAGAGTTTGAGTTTCTGCCTCTAAAATTAGTACCATGCCATTTCCTATTTAGAACTGTCATGAGGATTAGAAGCAACATATTTAAAATACCAAGCACATAGCTGGTGTGCAATAAATGATAGTTATTTTTATGTGACAGACACACCTGCACAGGAGACAGAATGCACGGGTGCTTGCTAAGTAAGCTACCACCATTTGGAAAGCAGGTGTCAAGGTCACAAATGTTTGATGGGTAGTAAGTTCTCATTGCGTTTAACCCATTTGCATTCCAAGTAGACATGTCTCTTGCCTGCATGTCCCCTAGCTCCTTCCCCTTTCCCATCACCACTGTCTTGATTCCTCCAGCTTTCCTTGTCCAGAATGTTCTGTTCTGGTTTCATCCACCACCCTCCATGCTCTGACTCACTAGCACATCCTTTAAGAAGCTTCTGCATGGAAAGAGCAGGGTCCCTGTGGCTCATCAGTTCTAAGTGGTCTGGGTCATAGCTCTGCCAGGCAACCTTTGGGAAGATTGTTCACCTGTCACTACTCCTAAATAATGGCATTATCAGTGACATCTCTGCCATTTCTCACCCCCTGCTTATGATCCTCAATGCCACCATTCCCCATCTCTGGGCTAACTATTCCTCTGGCATAAGTAGCAGTCCTGTCTTTCTTTGAAAGCAATAAGGGAGGTCCACTTCTTATACCTCACTTTCCACCTCTCTACTGGTATAATGGGACTAGTTATTCCTAAATTAAATGAGAAAATACTGGCCAGTTCACAATGTCATTTCCCCTATTTTCCTGATTCGTGTGTGTGTGTGTGTGTGTGTGTGTGTGTGTGTGTGTGTGTTTAACTTAAACGCAAGACAGTTAATAAGTATTAGTTCCTATTGCTGCATTTTCCTTTATTCTTTAAGGGCTTAATAACACGTTAAGTGCAGAGTAGGGGCTCCAAAGAAAAATACAATTTTAATGAACATCTGAACTCTTGGTCGTGATTTCTGATTCCCCTGTAAGTAGTAGGCACCCTGGGCATTGGTCTTTTCTTCCTACTCCTTTCTTTAGTCTCCTGGGACAGATGGAGCAAGCACCCTGCACTCAGAGGCACAGCATCGTTTTTTGCTGAATGAGAAAATGTTCAGGCTGTGAGCTGATAACCACTTAACAGGATTTCAGCTCTAGCTGAATCCTGGAGGGAGGGCAGGGCAGGAGCTGACTTGACTCAGAAGCTTCAAATGCCCTGGATATTCTAAGTATAATAGCTGAGGCTCCATTCAGCTGCTCTCAGCCACCTCTCCCAAAGGACCCCACCTGGAGACCCCTAGGTTGCCCTGGGCCTGGACCAGTTTGGACAGGAACCTCACTCTGTCCAGTTGGCATCTCTCTCTTTGTTAATAGAATTGGTATTAGGTGTGTTTGGGAAGGGACCAGGTTCCTGAGTCATGGCATTTGGACCGCTATGAAGGCAGGCACAGGTCAAGTGCAGGGCATCCCCTGAATTGGACAGTGTTCAGATGAGATCTAAGTGCCTGGTCTGTAGCCACAGCTCTGAATCCTTGTACCTTCCTAGCAGCCATAGCCAGTAGGACTCCAACCCCTTTCCCCTGGTCCACCTCCATGAAAACATCCTTAGTTAAGACCAATTATTGAATTTATACCCACTGACCATTTTACACTGGGCCACCCCAACATCAGCTGTGCCAGCCCCATGTTCCTGGTGCTTAGTCCTTCCTTCCTCCATTCCTACCCAACACCTCTGCCCCAACACTCCATGCCTCAAGCATATCATCCCTATGAGCATACAGGCATTGATAGGTATTTTGCAAAAGCCATCCTCTTGGGAGTCGGAAAACTCACACTAGGGTCTCCATGGTCCCCAAATTTCTGGGTAGCCTTGGAAACTCGATTTAACCTTTCTGGACCTCTTGTTTCTTCAGCTCTTAAACGGGGGATGAGGAAAGCCAGATCCAATGATGTGCTGCAGAGGGAAGTGCTGTGCAGACTGCAGTGCAAAGGGAGGTCCTGCTACAAGGATTTCTGACCTGCCCTCTGGGGAGCTGGAGTCATTGACAACCTCAATGGGTTCTGAGGAAGAGGCAGGGCCTGGGGCGGGGCATGGGCCATGCAAAGGTCAGGCCCCCTGCAGATGCTGATACAGAGCCAAGGTGACTCACGTCTCTGGTAGCACTCCTGAGAACGCAGGCTCATTCTTGCCCCTTCCCTGTGACTCACACACCTCCCAGGATGGAAGACCTTTGGCACCAGAGAAGGGATATGCCGGTTAAATAGGGAAGAACTGTCCTCAGTCTGGGCCTTTTAGTCTGAGTTCAGAAAGAATTGTGTAGTGAGAAATGAAATGTGTGCTTTAGCTATGCAAGGACTCCAAGCCTGGCGGACTTACAGTCAGTGTGAACTTGAGCACGGTCTTTATCTTCTTCGTGCCTGTTTCCTCCTTTTTTGAACCTGCCATAATGATTCCTACACTCTCTGAGGTGGCTTGGGGCAACATTTCAATGAGGTCCTGTTTGTAGAAAATGATCAATAATGTCCATTTCACTCCCCTGCCTTAGTTATAAACTATGTCAGGAAATGGCTTTATTTTGCCTGATTATATTTTTCATTTTACCATAATGAATATGTTTTGCTTTCATGAGAAAAAACACACAATATATTTAATCCTGTAAAAGGCTAACTGAAGGAAGACAGCAGAAAAAACTGAGGCTCTTCCAATGAACCAGCTATTTGGGGGCAGAAGTCAAACTGAAATGGGGTTCTCACATCTGGGCGCAGGTGGGCAGGGCTCCTTCTGCACTACCCTCTGGTTTATGCTTTTCTTTCTTTTTCTTTTTCTTTTTCAATTTTAACCCTTGACGTTTACATTTCTCCCACCTTCAGAACTCCAAGGGGTGATTACTAAACATACAAATATCTATGTCTCAAAGCATTTGGCATATGTGTCTACAAATGCATTGTGAGCTTTCAAGAGATAGCTAAACAGACACCACCTAAGCAAAAGGCTTCCCCTTTAACCAGCTTTTCCCAGACTCTTCAAGTCGGGGACACACATAGATTTTGCAACCAATCTTTTCTATTCTAAGTGGCTCTGCAGAGACCCATTGCCACCTGGGGCAGTTTACAGAGTCCCAAGGTCATTCTGAAGGCCAATGCTTTACATCACTTTATTGTAGGTTTCTCCCACCTTTATTGTAGGTTACACCCTTTGCTGAGACCAGTATATATATACAAGTACCCTCTGAGTCACAGGCATATTACAGGGAGCTTCTTCCTAGTTATTAATATTGCTTTGTCCACCTTGAGTTTACATGGAGTTAAAATCCACACTCAGGTATGTGCTGAAGTCAGGAGTGGGCAAAACTGCCTCTTCCAAAATAACAGGGGGTCTCAGTGAAGATAAATCTTACAGTGCAAGTAAAAAAAAGTAAACTTGATGACCACAGCAAGACAATCAAAATTAAAAAGAGAAACGAAGAAAAGAAAGGAGGAAAGACGAATGTAATATCCATCAAAACTTGTTTTTGTTTTTTTCAGTAACAAAGGAATATAGATTCCCCAATGGGTGCAACATGGACAGCTATTTTGAGTCAAGGGCAAGTTAATTATATTAAAAAAAGACAGCGTCTCCAGAATTTATTATTATTTCTTTTTGCAGTGAAATCTTTTAGTTCCTTCATATAGAGACATATTACACAATGTTAACAACCATGAAAAACAATACAAAATGCCCTCAATTTAACAAGTAGAAAAATATAACTAGTATATATGGCAATTGTGAATCTAATACTGTACAGAAGTTATTTATGGATCTTACAAATAAATTATAGCTTAAATGCCTTTTAAAACTTCTTCCCCCACCCTAGATGTACACCAGAACTTACAGTATCGGAAAGGTTCAGAGCCTAGCTTATTGCAAATCAGTGCCAGTCAAATGTTCTGCCCACGAGCTCAAAGAATTTCTTATTTGGCTCATGGAAATATTCGTGCAGTTTATGGAGGAGTTTGGGGTCCACTTGGGGGTGCGCCCGGCCTTTGGACTCATGCAAGCAGCGATCCCGCCCGCTGTCCCGCAGGCAGTAGAAGCCCTTGGTTTTGTTAAAGTAGAAGTTTGAGGCGTTGATCTGCGGGGACAGCTTCAGGAACCTCTCCACCTTCTGAATCTCCGGGAAAGGGTCCCTGATGAGGCGGTCACCGTCCACGATGTGGATGCGGTGCAGCGGGAAGAAGCGCAGCCAGTTGCGCATGTGCACGTGGTAGAGGCTACGGTTGAGCGCCTTGTAGTCCACGTTGAGGCGGCCATCGCGCACCAGGAACTCCTCGATGGACGGGTAGGGCTTGTGCTTCTGCACGTGGTTGTACAGCACCTGCGTGTAGTCCGACAGCACGCGCTCCGAAGGGTCCCGCAGGATGAGCAGCAGCCGGAGGGCTGGGTTCATACCGTGGACCCGCTCAGGCACTTTGGGTGACGTGAAGTACGCGGGGGTCTTTTCCACGGTGAGCTGGTGGGGGGCGGAGAGGGGCATCTGGCTGAGGTACCAGCCCAGGCCTTGGCTGTAGTGCTCCTCCCAGTCGAAGAAGTGCACCTCGTTCTCGGCGGCCGCCACGTCGGGGTGCAGGCTGAGCATCTCCAGCAGCGCGCGGGTGCCGCCCTTGCGCACGCCGATGATGATGGTCTGCGGGAGCTGCCTGGCAGAGCCATTGGGGGCCGCGCCGTCCAGGGCCTGGTCCTGGAGGGTGGCTGCTTTCCACACCAGCTCCTGTGGTCCAGGTTCCGCCCAGGGCGCGCCGGGGCGGGAAGGCACTAGCTGGAGCTGTGCCACCAGCAGCGCCGCGCCCAGGAGCAGCGTGGCCATGCTGGACACCACGGGGGCTTCGCTAGGCCGGACGTCGCTGGGTCATGAAGCGCCACCGCAGGAAATGCCTCCTGATCAGTGACACATGGGCGTAGCAGGCAGCCAATTACTAGGAAACAAAGAAAGAAAAATATTAATGCCAAATCCACAGGCTTCATGGAGTAGTCCACCTCCCTGGTTCCTGACCTGTAAAGCAGGGGCGGCAACATTTCTGTGCAGATCAGGTCGGGATGGTTTAGGGCCCAGGGGTCCTCAAACTTTTTAAACAGGGGGCCAGTTCACTGTCCCTCAGACCGTTGGAGGGCCGTACTATAGTTTAAAAAAAAACTATGAACAAATTCCTATGCATACTGCACATATCTTATTTTGAAGTAATAAAACAAAACGGGAACAAATACAATATTTGTATTTGCATGTGGCCCGTGGGCCGTAGTTTGAGGACCCCTGGTAGGCTTAGGGACTACAGTCTCCGTGGCAACTCCAAGTATGCTGTTTTGCTCTAAAGCACCCATGGATGTCCCCATGGATGTCCTAATACAACTTTTAAAATATTATTTTGTTTTCCAACAATGTATATGCTTAGTTCTATGTTTGCAAGAGATGAGAGAGAGAGAGAGAGAGAGAGAGAGAGAGAGAGAGAGAGAGAGATTTGGCTCTGCAATCCTAGTTAAACTCTGCTGTAAAGGAATGCCAAACTCTGCTGTAAAGGAAAGGGTTGGAAAGGCCTTTTGCACTTCAACAAACAACTAGCCCCAGGCCTAGCAGTAGGTGATATAGGAGCAGACATTGTTCCTGCTCCCTGCCCACCCCCACTCCCCTTCCATCATGGGGCTCCTGATCTAATAGGGCAGGTGAACCTGCCGAAAGATTGATCGTTTAGTTTCAATTCTTCACCCCACTTCACCTCACCCTCCATCCAGTTCTTGCTGTGGCCTCATTGTCAGGGGACTTCCTCATAGTTTGGTTTGGTTTGGCCAATGGCCTGTGGTCAGTCCCCAGCCCAGGCAGTGAAAGGCCATGTGTGTCTCCACTTGCCCTCTCGCCATGGGAAGAATGGGCCCTGGCAGCCCCCGCCTCCAGGAGGAAGAGGGAAGACAGGTGCAGCAGAGCAACCCCAGCTCATGAGTGAGAGAATACACTCTGGTGCTTTTCAGCCATTGAGTTTTGGGATGGCTTGTATAGTAACACTCATATGGAAAAGGTTAACAGATGCAACCTGACTGCAGGCATCGACACGATATGTTATGATTACATTCTAGGCAGGGTCCCATGAGGGCATATGGTCATTCATTTGGCCTGAAACAGTTGCGAAGGGCTTCACAGCAGAGGAAATGTTTGACGTGGGGCTAGAGGGATAAACAGGTGAGGTTACTAGAAAGAGCAAAAAGCCTTCCTGTGTGCAAAGCCTTACTGTTTATAAAGTGGCCCTGCAGTCTGCTCAGGTGACTTGTCACCACACCCTACAGTGTAAGGTAGGAAGGCAGGACAGTTAGAGATGAGAGTCTTGCCCAAGGACACTAACATTCAGTCCATTTCAAAATTCAGAGCCCAAATTAAAAACTCTAAGCTCAGGGCTCTCTTTCCACAAATTGCCTCCTTTACACCTTCTCTTTCCATCTGGGATTGATCACAGTTAGGCCTCAAAGTCCCTCAAGCACACAGGCACTGCTGGGTCAGATGGATGGATGGCATAGGGCTCCCAAAGGCAGATGAGTCATGGTTCATGTTTTCTGGGTGCTGATAAACAACAATCTAAAAGAGGAGGCAGCAAGCTATCCTTTAAGTAATCCCTGTCTATACACAGTTAGGGATGGATGGCTTCGAGACAGGCTGGGATTGGGGACTGGGATTTCCAGAACCAGTAATAGTGTTCTCCATCAAGAGGACCCATCATCTTTAGACCAGGTTTAAAATTCACTTAGTTTAACTCTTGTCCAGAATGTGTAAACAGAGAACCACACCCAGGGCTCCCATTTTAATGATCAAACCAGTTTATCTATTTCCCTCAGATATCAACTGTCTGGGGAAAATGTATATGAAAGAACAAGCAATGAAATATCTAGAAACCTCTGGAGAATCACAGAATGCTGGAGAAGAGACTTGCAAGATTGGGTGGCATAACTGTTTGGGAAAAGGAAGGGATATGTTTAAGGATGACTGGCCAGACAGATGTGGTTCAAGGTTGGTTCTACTGATTGGATAAGCTCAATTTAATGGGCCATTTGCTTTAATCAATTGAACATTTCAGTGTATTTCAGGCAAATTCCATTTCCTTCTCAACTGCTCATGTGGATCAACAGAACGGGCCGGCTGTGCTTGTCTTGTACATGTTTTTGTGTGTGTGTGCACATGTAGTGTGCTTGTATGAATTTGTGCCTGACTCCAGGCCCCACCCTCCCCAACCCTGCTACGCCTGAGTGACAGAGTTGGAGACCAGAACTGCAAGTCATATTGTCTGACCATCCTTCCCACCCTGTTAGGAGGTATCCTGGTTAGCACCATGCACATCAGAGATCTTTCTCCTAAAGGGGAATTACCAGCAGTCCAAGGGAGAAGAAATGAAATGTAGTTTGCCCTTTCAAAACAGAAATGAAAAATAAAAAATAAATAAACTGGGAAGTTAGTAGTTTACAAGCTCCTCATTTCTACTTCAAACTTTCTAAAAATGTAGTTTCTTATTGTAAGCTTTTCTTCTTCATTCCAAAAATATTTAATATTCAAGCTATATGGAAAGTAAAAGTTTAGCTAAAGTCTCATACACACGGAGAGAGACAGGGAAACAGAGAGAGAAAAGCACATATATGTACTAGTATGGGCTATATGTAGAGAGAGCTATGTGTATAGCATGTGCATGTATGAAACTTTAGCCAATTAATATGTATACACATATATCATGTGTATCTGTATGCACACACATATGTACTATATATGTAAATTTATATATATCACAAACACAGTGGCCATTAAGAGCCACAGTCTTTCTGTAGTAGTCTTTCTGTAGTAGTCTGATCATTGTTCAGTGGCATAGCCATAATTTCTGGGCCTCTTAGTAAGACTCTTAGAAAAGCAAAGATCCCCACGCTCAGGTGAGCCTATAAGCCAGAACATCTGAGCCGAATGGATCCTGACAGTGGGATTCTGAACATCAAGGCAAAAGAGAGCCATTGAGCCACTGCCTTTCATTTTGTGGGTGAGGAGGCCCCGAGATGACTTGGCCAAGGTCACATGGAGAATCCAGGCTTGACCTTGTGGCTCCTGAGTTCCAGTTCTGTGTTCTATCTGCTATTTCTGCTGCCTCCCAAGTGTGGGGTCTCAACATTCACTAATGGCAATGGTTTTGGGGTCCTAAACCAAAAGACCCCCCCAAAACCTACCCAGCAGTGACAATTCCCTGGCCACCTACTCCAGCATCAGTTGATACACACAGGGTGAAACTCATTTCCTAGTTCTATTCAGTAGAAGAGTCAAAGGACTTACACAGGTGATGGGGTCAGGAGTTCTTCTCTAGGTTTGACCTGAGTCCAAGTGACTTAACCTCTCCTAGTCTCAGTCTCCTCATCCATAGAACAGTAATAATCCCACCCATCTCCAATGGCTACCTGTGGACTGTGTATCAGTGAGATGTTGTGGGTCAATAAGCACCATCCAAAGAAATCCAATGTGAGCCACATATGCACTTTTTCCCTTATCAAACAAAAACTGACTGAATTTACACTACTAGTACATATCTAACATTTTACCTACGTATTGACACGGGTGCCCATTTTTACCAATGCCTTCTCCCTTCCATAATGCCAACCACAGCCTCCCCCACAGCAGGCACGCGGCATGTGAATTGTATAGATGAAAGTATACCACAGTTTTAGTTCATTCTCAGAAAAACTCAAATCTTCACTGGCAATCAAGAGGTGCTCATGAAGGTGAGAGTAACCCTTCTCTGAGGTGCTGGTAACCACTATTCATTTATGTGTCTCTGGTACTTAGTCAAATCCTGACCTGTGTCAAATCATGTATTGTTTCTACTTTTATAAATGAGGAAATGACCCACATGTGCACTTTAAAATTTTCCAGGAGCCACACTAAAAACAATGCAATTCAGTGCCGGCTCCTGGTCAGAGTCCAGCCCCCGCTGCTGTACCCTTCCAGGGCCTGGATGATTTCTGGACACAGTGGGTGCTGGAGATTCTATTTGCTGAATGGACGTGTCAAATGCAATGGAAAGCAAGGCACATGTCCACAGGTCCTGAGAAAGACTTTTAATTCAGCGTAAGGGAAACCCAATAGTTTGTCTATAAAAATGACTGCATCAAAAGTGAGTTTTCCAGCCCCTGGAGAGTCAAACAGAAACCAGATGTTGAATGGCAGGCTCAGCATTTCTAATGGGAGTTGGACAGGGTCACCCGAGAGTCTAGAAAATATTTTAATTAAAAAAGGAGAGGAAGCAGTGAAATAACCCTTCAAAAATATTTTAATTTTGTCCTTAAGTCTTCTTATTCCATGATCCACATCATGACCTAGATTTCAAATGTAATTAACTACAATATATTCTCCAAGTCCCACCCCCCGAAGATTCATGATAGAATGAAATACCAAAGGTATTTCACAGGAGGGACATTCAGTGCGTTGGGAACAGTAGTGTTGGTGATCCCTCTTCAGGACACCTCCCCGGCCCCTGCACACGAGAGAGACACAGCTGTCACAGGCAAGAGTCTCCCCCAGAGAACAGGGATAAGCAAAGCACTCAACCACACATCCTTTAAGGGATTTAACAAAAGGGTCGGAAAGGAAAAGATTACTTACTGAGTGCCCATTGTGCCAGACGGTAAGCACTCATGTATACATGACCCCTTCGAATACTCGCAACAATACCAAGAGGTGGTTCTTCTCATTTTATTTTACATTTTTAAAAATATATATTTTTATTGATTTCGGAGAGAAAGGGAGAGGGGGAGAGAGATAGAAACATCAATGATGAGAGAGAATTATTGATCGGCTGCCTCCTGCATGCCCCCCACTGGTGATCGAGCCCACAACCCGGCATGTGTCCTTGACCAGAATCAAACCTGCAACCCTTCAGTTCACAGGTTGACACTCTATCCACTGAGTCAAACCTGCTAGGGCTTATGTTACATTTTTTAAGTAACAAGAAGATAGCATGCAGATGTGGAAAAACAAAGAAGTGTTTGCAATTGGACAGATCCAGGGTAGAATACTTATAGCTGCCTGACCTCCAATAAGAAGCTTCTTAGCTGTCAGGGTTCAATGTGCAATTCTGCACAATGGGCTAATACCTACTTCCCATGGATGCTATCATGATTAAACAAAACTCTCCACATTGAATAAATATATCACAGTGCCTTTCTCCCCATGACAAATAGGAAAACATGCTATTCAGGTTGAATGACCTTCTCAAGGTCACAGACCCAGGAAGTATGAAAACTAAAATTCTGCAGGCCATCTCTAAACCCCGCCGCACCCCACCTGTGACCGGTGATGCCTCTGTGGGCAGGGAGAGTGCGTTCCAGGCAGATGCAGCTTAGCAATAGGCTGAGCTAGCAGAGAGGCCCAGAGCCTTTCTACTGCAATGCAGGACTGCCTCTCTCCAGCTTTGCGGGTGCTGAGTGATCTCATTTTCTGGAATGCACTGAAACCTGGTTAAAGACAGTTCGAACAACGGAGCTGTCATTCCCCTATCCAACCGACTTCAGAGCAATCAACAGGATAAGATCATTTGTTCACTTTCAGAGTCACACACGTCTTCACTTTTGTCCTTGCACAACTACTGATGAACGCTTGGCAGGGGTGTCAAATGTTCCTCCTGGCGGGTCCTCTTGGAAACCGAGAAAGAGGAAACAGGTTTAGCTTGTGCCTGTCAGTCTGGGAAAGGACAGTGGTATCTCAAGACTCGCATAAATATTTATTTTCTATAAATTGCCTACACATGCCACTTGTCAACAAGTGCTGACATTCGCTTTTGTTTGGATTTACTGATGGTGATGGTTGCGCAGTAAGATGGGTGGAAAGGACCCAAGGTCAGTCCTGGGAATGTTCGTAAGTTTCCCCGGGCCACGTTTACCATCTTGGACAAAGAAGGGTCTTGGCCCATTTTCCTCTTGGAAAGGGGGTGAACCCTCAGAATGCTCCTCCTCCAGCCTTCCCAGGCTCCCCTGCATCCGCACAATGCTAGGGGCTTCCTCCCTATTTCAAAAGGGTGACTGGATATTGAGCATGACTCCCCGGGACTGAAGGAAGGAGGTACTCAGGCAAGCCAGGAAGGGCAGCGTGGTGTGGGGACAGGCGCAGGGATTTGGGGCCACCAGAAATAACTGGCAATGTTGTTTCTGAGCCTCTGAGAACTCCAGGATGCACTGGGATGAGCAATGCGGCCTGTCCCACGGGGAGTTTGAGGTCAACCCACCCAGTCTTCTTCTGAAGCTTCCCTCCCAGGAGCTCAGCCCAATGCTTTCCAAACTCAGAGGCACACTCCAATCCCCTGGAGATCTACTTCCACATGCAGATTCAGATCTGAGAGGTTGGAGAGGCCTGGGTGTCTGTGTTCCTAACAAGCTCCCAGGGAATTTGGCTGCCCATCTGGGCCCTTGGATGGTGAGGGGCCCATGATCTTGCAACCTCTGGGTCCAGCTGTGAGCTTGGAACCTCCAGGCCCAGCTGTGAGCCTGGAACTTCTGGACCCAGTTGTGAGCTTGCAACCTCTGGGCCCAGCTTTGAGCTTGTAATCTCTGGGCCCAGCTGTGAGCTTGGAACCTCTGGGCCTATCTGGATTTGGATTCTAATCACCTTGGCCTTGAGCAGGGTGGCTAATTTTCTTTTGGTTTTTGTTCTTACTGTTGTTTGTTTTTAACTGCAGGATGAAAACAACTGCAGAAGACAAAATAGAGGGATCGGTCTGGCTTCAGAGGTGATGTTATCCCCAGAGCTGGGCAGAGGAGAGATGCTGGATTTCACAGAGGATTTGGGGCCCAAACCTGGCTCAAATCTCAGCTCTACTGCTGAAAATCCTGCAGGCAGCTCTGAAGCTTGCAGCCTTAGGTCGAATGCACTGGCCCCACATTCCAACTGCAAGGCTTCAATACAACAGGCTGAGGACATTAGCATATCGCCTGGCCCATGGCAAGCCCTCAAATCCTGGGAGCTATTTTTGTCCCTAAAAAAGAAAGCTGTGTGGTATAAATGGGATCCAGGCATGATAATGAGTCAAACTCATTTGTTCACGATCCACAGCACTGCAGTGACTCAACCAGACGGAGGCTCCAGGAAGCAAGGACAGCATCGCCTGGACAGGTGCAGGCTCTCTGTTTCTAAGGGATGCACAGTCACTGGGTCCTCTGTGACTGCCCCGCCCCCTCAGGAATGATGGGCAGCCAGGTCTGTGAGTCTGGGAGGGAAAAGGAGGAGCAGCTACCTCTCCTCAATGTGTTTAATCTGCACTGCTGTGCACAGCAGGCAGCCTTGACCTAAATAAATCCTTCATTAGAGGCAGCGCACGTGGAGCTCCCTGACAGGAGGGTGGACGGGCCTCTTTTATTACTTGGTGCAGCTGAGTGGAAAGGGGGCTGTGCCAGCAGACAGGGAACGGGAGTGGCTGCCTTAGTGCATGCCAGTGTGCATGGCCTTCTGTTCCTGCTCCAGGTGAGACCTAACCTCCACACAGGTGCCCTCTGAATGTGGGAGTCTCCTGGTTGGAGTGGACAGTGACATCATTCTGTGGATGGGGAGCACCCAGAAATCCCATACGTCTCTCCAGAAAGAACCAGGAAAGACACAAGGTGCATGAGATGCTAAAGGGCCAGGAGCCATTCCCTGGTCCTGTCCAGATTCCTGCGGAAGGGAAAACTGAGGCAGGCAGAGCACAGGAACCCCAAGGTCAAGTATGAGGCAGCGGAGCTGAATCAGAAACGAAGGTCTCTGGATGCCCTTGCCACTGCACAAGACACGGAAGGCTGGGCTTCTTTTGTGTTGGGGTAGAAAATATTGAGCAATTTTTAGCTAAAAAATAAATACGTACAAACCAAACTAAATTCTTCCCCTGGAATGGCAAAGGTGGGGGAGGATTGGCCTCATTTCTGGGGCCAGCCTGTAGGGACTGAATGTTTGTGTTCTCCCAGATGCATATGTATTTGGAGCTGGGGGCTTTGGGAGGGACTCAGGGTTAGAGGAGGTCTTGAAGATGAGACACATGATGGGATTGATGTCCTTCTAAGGCAGGGGTGGGAACCTTTATTCTGCCAAGGGCCATTTGGGTCTTTATAACATCATTCAAAGACCATACAAAATTATCAACTTAAAAATTAGCCTGTTAAAACTAAAACCATTTCACCTAAGAACAGGAATGAGACAGGGATGCTCACTTTCACCATTCCTGTTCAACATATTACTGGAAGTGCCAGCCATAGCAATTAGACAAGAAGAAATAAAAGATACAGAAATTGGAAAAGAAGATGTAAAACTGTCATTATCCACAGATGATATGATACTGTACATAAAAAACACTAAAGACTCCATCAAAAAATCATTAGACTTAATAAATGAATTCGGCAATGTAGCAGGATACAAAACTAATACTAAGAAATCTATGGCATTTTTATACATCAATGATGAACTTACAGAAAGAGAGATTTAAAAAACAATCCCATTTACTTTCTAACCAAAAACAATTAAGATACCTAGGAATAAACTTAACTAAGGAGGTAAAAGTCCTGTACTCGGAAAACTACAGAACACTGAAAAAAGAGATAGAGGAGGACATAAACAGATGGAAGAACATACCGTGTTCATGGATTGGTAGAATCAACATCATTAAAATGTCCATACTACCCAAAGCAATCTATAGATTCAACGGACTCCCCATTAAAATACCAACAGCATATTTCACAGACCAAGAAGGAACTCTCCAAAAATTCATCTGGAATAAAAAAAGACCTGGAATAGCTTCAGCAATCCTGAGAAAGAAGAACAAAGTAGGAGGGATCTCAATACCAGATATCAAACTGTATTACAAAGCCACTGTTCTCAAAACTGCCTGGTACTGGCACAAGAACAGACTTATAGACCAATGGAATAGAATAGAGAACCCAGAAATCGACCCAAACCACTATGCTCAATTAATATTGACAAAGGAGGCAAGAATATACAATGGAGTCAAGACAGTCTCTTCAATAAATGGTGTTGGGAATATTGGATAGATTACATGCAAAAAAATGAAACTAGACCACCAAAAACAAAAAATAAACTCAAAATGGATAAAGGACTTAAACATAAGATGGGAAACCATAAAAATATTAGAGGATTCCACAGGCAGCAAAATCTCAGACATATGCCCAAGCAATTTATTCACTGATACAGCTCCTAGGGCAATGGAAACTAAAGAGAAAATAAACAAATGGGACTACATCAAAACAAAAAGCTCTGCACAGCAAAAGAAACCATCAACAAAACAATAAGAAAGCCTACTGCATGGGAGAACATATTTGCCAATGTTATCACTGATAAGGGTTTAATCTCCAACATTTACAGGGAACTCATACAACTTAACAAAAGGAAGATAAACAACCCAATCAAAAAATGAGCAATGGACCTAAATAGATACTTTTTGAAAGAGGATGTAAGGAAGGCCAAAAGACATATAAAAACATGCTCAAAGTCACTAATCATCCGGGAGATGCAAATCAAAATGACAATGTGGTACCATCTCACACCTGTCAGAATGGCTATCATCAAAAATTCAACAAATGACGAGTGCTGGTGAGGATGCAGAGAAACAGGAACCCTCGTGCACTGCTGGTGGGAATGCAGACTGGCGCAGCCACTGTGAAGAACAGTACGGAGTTTCCTCAAAAAACTAAAAATGAAACTCCCATTTGACCCCACTTCTAGGAGTATATCCCAAGAAACTAGAAACACCAATCAGAAAGGATATATGCACCCCTATATTTGTAGCACCACAATTTACCATAGGTAAAATTTGGAAACAGCCTTCAACAGATGAGTGGATTAGAAAGCTATGGTACATCTACACAATGGAATACTACATTGCGGTAAAAAAGAAGGAATTTTTACCATTTGCAACAGCATGGATGGAACTGGAAAGCATTATGCTAAGCGAAATAAACCAGTCAGAGAAAGATACATATCACATGATCTCACTCATTTGTGGAATATAATGAATAACATAAAGTGATGAACAAAATCAGATCCAGAGACAGAGAAGCATCGATCAGACCGTCAAACCTCAGAGGGAAGGTAGGGGAAGGTGGGGGTAAGGGAGAAAGATCAACCAAAGGACTTGTATACATGCATATAAGCCTAACCAATGGACACAAATACCAGGGGGGTGAGGGGATGAGTGGAGTGGGGTGTTGGGGGGCAATGGGGGGATAAGGACACACATGTAATACCTTAATCAATAAAGAAAAAAATTTTTTTTAAATTAGCCTGTTATATTTGGTCAAACATTTAATTGACCCACCCCTAATGCCTTGGCAGGGCCAGACCAAATGATTTCATGGGCCTTATATAGCCTTTGGACCTGACTTTCCCCACCCCTGTAAGGAGAGGAAGAGAGACCAGAGTTCTCTCTGCCCCAGGAGCACATCAGGAGATGACAACCACATTTGAGCCAGGTGAGAGCTCCCAGCAGGAGCGGAATTGTTGGCATCTTGCTTTTCAACTTCCCAGACTGCAGAGCTGAAATATCAACTGTTGCTGTTTAAGCCCCCAGTTTGTGGTATTTTGTTAGGGCTGCTGAGCAGACTAATACTCAGCCCTTAGAAGAAACAGTAAGTTCCTTCTGTGTACATCTTTCCAGGGTGG